CATGTCATTAAGAGAAAAATTTAAAGAGTATGCACATTTTGAATTTATAATAGGCTGTCTAAATATCTGAAAAAAATCGAGCTTAATTAATATAGATCTCATGATTCGCACTCGGGTCTACTACATGGTGGATCTACTATCATGGAGGGTCTTGTATATAATGATTTACAGTAATAACTTAGAAAAAAATTGACCTTCATAAACCAATAATATAATTTAAGAAGATGAAAGAATACGTATCATTAATGATAATATAATTAAGGAATAGTCTTATAGTAGTTTCGATAAAACACCAATGACCTTACCACTGCATCCTAAAGGTCCTTTGCAACCTTGCGATTATGACCTGGGCACTAACCAATACGCTATTAACCCATGGGTCTTTTTTTGTTTTTTGAAAAAAATACTTTAAACTTTGTAAAATAAAATTAAATAATATATTGATGGGCAATCATATAAAAGTCTCTCAATAACTCCGTTCCTGGGATAAAAAAAAAATTTTGGATTAATAAACTTGAATAGATTAGTTTAAATATATTGATAATTAAAAAAATTAATGCACTAACAAATCAGCATGAATAAATCGAATAGCAATTATAAAAGTAGGAATATCATACCTAAATAGATTATTTTGATATATTGATTAATAAAATATAATTATACTTACCGCCTAGATTAATGCGAATAAAATGAGTTATAATGTAATGAATTCTATGAATTGGGTAAATATTTTAAGTAGATTGATTAAAAAAATCCTCTAATTTATAGAATAAATTAATGCAATAAAATAAGCTGTGTAAAGGTAATTGCTAAGGGCTTAAATGGCTTATTTTAATATCAAAATATATCAAGATAAGTATATACTATATGCATGCATATACACACCTTGCCTTGCCAAAATTATAGCTTAAATTTAAGGTGCTAATCCAATAAATTACTATAAATACAATATATATAAATCATTATCTCCAGTCTTAGAGCATTTGTCAAACAAATAACAAGTCTAAAAATTATACCAACGTTATCAAAACTCCTAAAAGCAAAAATGAATAATGAATTTAAGAATCAGGATAAACTTAGAAAACAAAAAGCCAAAGAAAATGTAACACCCGATCAGAGAGATGCGTGCCTTGCCTGAAAATGCAATCAAAAATGTAAAAAAAGAGCAGCAAAATCAGCAGAAAAATGTGAACAGTGACTTGCACGAGATCGAGAATAAAAGCGGCAAAAAGTAGTAATGCAAAAATATAAAGAATGTAATGAGTTAGAAGAAAGTGATAACAGTTGTATTATTATGCCACAAGGATCAGAACAAGTAGAAAATGAAGTGGTAGTATATATTAATCCATATTCAGCAGCTAATATTAGTGAGATTGAGCAAAATCTTCTGAATAGATTTCATAGTAAAATGGACGAGATTAATTTTACTCTTTGCCCTATCTGCAATGAAAGCTTTCCTGGCATTGTATTTGTAATAGGAAGTTGTCACCATTGTAGTGCTGAAAAAACAATGCCAAAAAAGTTTTCTGCTGAAAACAATATGGATCCTAAAGAAGTTCCTGAAGAACTTCAAGGCTTACAGAAGTTGAGGAAATGTTAATATCACAAGTCTTTACTATAATGTCTATATATTGACTTCGTGGAGGTCAATACAAATACCGCGGAAATATAATCAACTTCTCTCCAGATATACAAGAGTTCACAACCCACCTTCCTCGGAATCTATCATTACTAAATATGCTTATTGTGTGGTATAAATCTGAAAATCATTCTGGATCATTTAGAGACTTTTATGTTTGCTGTTCTAAAGTTACCCATGCATTATACTGGCTAAAAGGAAATAATCGATACTACTCCAACATTATCATAGATAACGAAATTCTTTAATTATTACTAGAAGATGATTATATTGATAGCCAACTTCCACAGATTCAGAGTGATCATAACTTAAACAGAACAAATGATAATGATTTAGTTACTCACACTTTTGTCCCTTTTCTTCCTTTTACTGATAGCGAGAATACTCAATTAATGGCGCACTTAATCGATTATAGTCAGGTAATTCTCCTATAGCATGGCCAAAAATTGACAATAGGCCAGTTAACGAATTCCAAACTCTAAGTTACATTGCACATGTATTTCCAACATTGTATCTAACCAGTTGTGCTAACCTTTATGCTAAACAAATTAAAGATATCAAACCAGCAGAGTATTTTAAACATTTGCTTTGATATAAAGATAGAAAATTTGCATATTATAATTATTGGTGATATTTCGTGCTTAATACTTAGTTGCAATGGAGAGCATTACAAGAAGGAAGTATATACATTAGACAAAAGCTGAATGATGAACAGCTCACTGTTTCAGATATTCAAAATATGATTTTAGAAGGTAATACTTACATGTCTAATCAAATTATACGATTTGGAGAGGGATTACGTGGATCCAGACAGTTTTGGATAGCACAATATTGTGAGTTGTCAGATATGATCAAACAGATAGGTTTACAAAGATTAGTATTTTTATATTTAGCACTGCCAACCTACATTGGCCAGAACTTCACAAGCTTATAAGATCAAGTGGTTATTTCGAAGAGGGAGAAATATCTAGGCAACATTGTCAAAATATAATCAACAATCCTCATATTGTTTCCTGATTTTTCAATAAGCAGTTTAAAATATTTTTTGAGGATGTACTTAAATAACAATGGGAGCTAGAAGATTGGTAGTATAGGTTTAAATGGCAGCACCGTGGTAGTGTCCATGTGCATAAAATCAGAAAAGACAAAATGCACCTGAAATTAACTAGACACAGATAAAAGAAAATGAGAATTTGATAAGTGAAGTAGTGCAGTATCTTAACAATTTGGTCACTACAATAAATCTGGGACTTAATACGCTAGTACCTACCTGCTATCTATACCGAAAAAACAATAATGAGATTAATGATAATATACAAAACTATATCGATTTGGTAAATAAAATACAGAGGCACACATAATGTAGTTCTTTGTACTGTTTTTGTACAAACCAAGCTGGGCAGACATTTTGTAGATACGGTTATTCTAAAGAAAATAGTGAATATACTTTTTTTGCATGATGATTACCATAGTAAACTAGAGCTTATTACTGCAAGAAATGACCCGTATATCAATGCACATAGTTGATTTCAACTGCAAGGCTAGAGAGCAAATGTGGATTTGAAGCCAGTGCTTAGCATTCATATAGCCTTGCAATATATTGCTAAGTATGCAAGTAAAGCAGAACCATGATCTACTGCCTTTTCTGAAATATTAAATCAAATACTTCAAGATAGCAGATCTGATGATCCAATACTCGCTCCAGTTCAAAAATTGCTATTGCATAGTGGTGCAGAACGTAACATCTTGGCTCAGGAGACTTGTTATCTTTTTCTAGATATACCACTATATCATTCAAGCTGTTAGTTTGTTACTCTGAATCTAAACAAAGAAGCACCACAATAGCTTAGTGGGACAGGTAGCAAGGATGGTAATGAATCTATTATAGTTAGTAATGCCAGGTGGACAGCGAAGTCATCTTTAAAAATTTATCAAGAAAGGCCTGTAGAGTTCACAAATTTTTCATTATTTCATCTTAATTTGATACACAAATTTACTAACAATTGCTAGAAAAGATATAAATATGAAAATATAATAAGAATCTGGCCACGGCCACCACCCCTGTGAAATAGCCCTCAGTGGGAAGAATTTTGTCATATAAAAGGTTCTTCTTCATATTTGCTATCAAGATCTTTATCAATTGACTGAAAATGATACAATAACATGGACTGCTTTATATGAACATAATATTGTCGAAATCAATTCTGACCCAATTAATTTGCTTGGCCCCACTATAGATAATAAAGAAAGTAATATTGAAGATGATGATGAATAGGTAGAAGATGATGAACAAGAAAATTACTGATCTAAATAGATGCTTTTAGCAGAGATAGGTCCAGATGCAACTATTAATGATTCTTCCACTATTGGATCTTATAGCATAGATAAAAATTATAACTGGATTAGTGAGAGTAAATACAAATATTTGAACATAGATATTATGAATGCTAGCAATTTTGTACGCTAAGCTTCTGGTAGTTCTAAAACAGCAAATCATGATAATTTAGACTCTAAAATTATTAATTATGAAACCTTAAATGAAAATCAGAAAAGTGTCATTAATTGAGTAGTATTACATTACTGTAACATTCTTACTAGAAATCAAATTAAGCCAATAAGAATAGTTGTAATGGGAACTGCAGATACTGGAAAATCGTACTTCATTAAAGCAATTCAAAACAGACTTAATATGATGGCTGGAGCTGCTGTTAAGTCACCAGTAATTGTAATAGCACCAACTGGGTTGCTGTATTTAATATTAATAGGTTAACGATCCACTCTTCACTTTCCATTCCTGTATATACTAAAAATGTGATATAGATAGCAAAAGATTGAGTCAATTGCAAGAAAAGTTACAAAATATGAACTACTTTACTATAGATGAAAAAACTATGGTCAGATGCCGAATGATAGCTTTAACTGATATTTGACTATAGCAAGCTTTTTCTAAATGCAAAAACAAATCCTTCAGTAGATGCTTCATTATTATGTTTGGTGATTTTGGTCAGCTCTCATCTGTCCTAGATCTTTTCATATATGCAACCAGTATATCACAAGACCTATTGTCTAATGATGGTCTCATAGTATACACGCAATTTAAAGAGGTGTATAAACTTGATGTGATTGAATATCAATCAGGAAATTTTGAAGAACAACAGAAGTTCAGAGATATTCTTTTATGGTTGTGAGATTGTAAGTCCACCTTAGCAGATTGGGAAACTCTTACTACATAATTTGAAGAGAAAATAACTGAAATAAAAAGAAATCAGTTTTCAGAGACTACTTTTATTTTACCTAAGTGGTCTGAAGTTGATGTAGTAAATTTAGATCAGTTTACCTCTCTGAAGCATCCTGTTGCTAAAATACTCGCAGTACATAGTAGTGGGCATGATGCTAAATGAGCAGACTCTGATGAGGCTATGTTTAAAAGCTTAACTGTTATTAACTAAAGGTGCTTGTATTATGCTAACCGTGAACCTATGGACTGAGACAGGGTTAGTGAATGAAGCAATTGGAACAGTTCAGAGTATTCTGTATAATGAAGAAGAACCACCTTCTTTTTCTGTAGCAGTTCTCATATCTTTTGATAACTATCGAAGGCTCACTATTACTACTTTAGAAGGCACAGAAGTAGTTCTAATTGTGCCCATTAGATGTTTCTGGGTAAGTAAAGGTGGAGTAATATGCTCATATTTGCAAATACCTGTTTGTCTTGCATGGGCCATTACAGTGTATAAGAATCAAGGTCTTACACTTCCAAAGGCTGTAATAGACCTTGGATCTAAAGAATTTTTAGCAGGTCTTTTGTTTGTGACAATATCTAGGGTTTGTACAATAAATGGTCTAATCTTCAAAGCTTTTAATTTTGAGAAACTTCAGCACATAAAAAAATATAGAAGGATTCAAGAGAGAAAAGATGAAGAAAAACAGTTGGTTTTTATAATAAAAACTCAAAACCCAACGTTAATACAGTATATACAATAATAAAAGTTAAAAAAAATTATTATTAGCTCTTTTCAACTTTCTTTTTGAAATCATTAAGATTTCTTCAGGTATTTTGCTTATTAATTCAAGCATTTGTTTCTGCTTTATTTTAATATTTATTAAACGGATTTGTCAAGATCATTCTAAAAGTTAGCTTGCATATACTTTCTGTTAAATCAGTACTTCTTGACAGTAGATTAAATTATATTTGTATGTTAGTAAGTTTTCTTATAAGAGTAGTTGTTCGTACCTTTGGCAATTTTCAGAGTACGTATTGGTCTTGAATTTAGGAATTAGTGAAGTATAAATATAGTAACAGTAACTATAACTCTAATACTTTTATATTTATGAAACAATCTTTAAAAATTTGTAATATATTCTACTTGCCAATCCTTTATATAAAAATATATGAGTGCTACCAAGAAAAAATCTGTAACTGGCAATTTAAGTTTGAAAAATTATTAGTGATATACATCTGCTAGTTATTTTGGTGTCATGTATCTTGGTTACCCAATCAGTTATTTTACTTTATTTTATTTTTTGTATTATTTTATTACATATGTCAATAGCTTGTAACTGAAATATAGTTATATGTATACTTGCTTGCAAAACTATTAGGATTTGGGATTTGGGATTTTACTATATTTGGGATTTGGGATAGATTTTGAAGATTTGTAGTTTGGGCAGCAAGTATAGTTATACGCATGCTTTAATTATATATTGCATGTTATTTATCAAAGACTAAGTCCAATGAATAATAATTTTAAATTGCCCTCAGCGGCACTCATATATATATAATATCATATTATACTTTTGATCATATATGTGGACAAACAGAAAATTCAAAACTACTTTCTTGATATTTTTATATAGAATGCATCAAAAATATAATATTTGTATCACTATACATAGAATCTAAGGTCCTCCGCTTCGCTCTAGACAATAAAATCTAATTGGCTATCAGATAAGAGGATAAATTTAAACAATTTATTAGTAAAACCTAATCAGCTGATTTCTGGAAGTCTTTTATATCTTTTTATACAAACATAGCTATAAACTTTGTATTTTTTTTCTTAATAGTTAGGCTTTAATAAACTTTGTAAGATTTTCAACATCTATAACTATATATTTATAATATTTACTTATTTTAGACAGAAGTTCTATATAATTAACAAATAGTTTATAGAATATCTAATAGTGGCTAATATATAAAAGAATTCTTTGGCTATTTATTTTTTATATTTTTAATATATTTAATATATTATTATATAATTATTAATATTATTATATATATTTTTAATACTCATTAATATTTTATAATTGTAGTATTAATTTTTTTATATTTTTTTTTTGCAAAACTCTTATTGCTTGTTTTCAAAATTTAGTCTTTTTAGCTTTGCTATAGATTATTTTGAAGCTTTATTTTTAGCTATTTTTTAAAATAATTAACTATTTAATAAGCATTAAATCTTTAATTTGTCTGAGTTAGAATAAAGATTTTTTTAATATATAGACAGCCATTTAAAATAGGTTAAATAATATTTGATAGTCTCTAAATCTTGTATTTTTGCTTCTTTTATCTTAATCTTCATCAGCAAATTTTAATATATTACTTATTAGTATACTCTTTTTATATTGATAAGTCTAGATATTTTAATATTCTGTTAGCATTTATATACTTTTTTTGGCTATACTTTACTTAAAAATTGAATATCTGCAATATAACAACTTATTATATCAAGCATTCTTTAAACTATGTTTATAGAAAAGCTACTTAAATATTTGATAGTTTATTCAAATATTAAAAGTTGTTTTACTAATATAATATTTACTTTATAAATTATATTAAAATATTTTTTTTAGGGTTTGAATTCCATAGCTTATTGGTTAAGCTCTCAAACCTCACAAACAAGATTGATAGTTCAAGTTGAGCTAGAGGCAAATTAATTAATTTGTCTTTGTAATCTTTGGGAGCTATAATTAAATACAAAGCCCTATAGCTAAATCCAAGTGCATTTATGAAACTGGAATAGGAATTCCCGGAAAGAGACCTAAATATGAAGAATAGTAACTACAGTATTACAGAAGATTGCAGTTATAGAAGATTGTATAAATAAGTCCTTAGAGACATGCAGTACTAATATCCTTGTATCTTCAAGTTCGATACTATCAATATCTCTATATTCAACTTGTAGGGTACTTGCTTGGGAGGATAATCAATTGATTGCACATATAAGTCTCTATTTGAAAAAAGAAGATATAGGTACTTGCTTGGGAGGGTAATTAATATAACTAAAATTAGAGTAGTGAGAAAATTGGTAAACATGTAGATGGTCTGTAATAAAGGATTAGCTTTACCAGATTCAGAAGCACCTCTAGTATGCAGAATGAGAATACTATAGAAGGCAAAAGCTACAAAGGTTGTCTGATGTTCTGGGTATAAATAAAGATACCAAATCAGGCTCTGGTCATATCTATATAGAAGTCTTGATGAAAAAGTTTAGGATTAGCCAACCTCTGGGGTTTACAATTCAAATAATAGTATGATATTACTGGGGTTAGTATAA